TCATGGGCTTCTGCCAGTCCAATGGCACTATCGAAAGTTTGTGCTATCTCTTTACTCGGGATTTCCAAGTGAGTTTCTGTCTCTTCGATTTCTTAGCCTTCTACGCTCGATGGTCTTATCATGGGTTTGCACGAAGCCTTATACGACACTGGTTTTACATTTCTCTATGTATATGTACCATGTAACGTTATACTTTGCATAGATGCCCTGAGCTCCCAATGTTAGGTGGAACCCAACTTGGTGTACTTAAGATTACAAATGCCCAAAACCCAACTGATCAGCAAGAGACAGTTACTGTAACACAAATATAATTTCCAAAATTTGTCATCCATGGGAATTGAACCTTAGACCTGCCACTTGAGGGTTGATAACCTATCCACTTCACTAGGTTGCTACATCTTCGTTTTTTTAAATTTTAATATATATTAAATAAATATATATATAGTAAAGTTTAAAAAAATTCTTTGTCTAAATTAATAGTTTGATACTGAAATTTTATTGCTTAAGATTTGAAAATATTTTAATTTAGTTGGCAAGCATAAATATGCTAATTAATAAATTATATTGACTAAATTAACACAATAAATTAAATAAGAGACCTTGTGAATAGTTTTTAATAAATAATCTTAATATTTACTCTTTGTATATAATAATAATCATAGCAACAGGTCACCAATTATATGTCTCAATATTTACTTATTCATATTAATATAAATTTTATATTGCAATGCATCAGTAACCAACAGTTTATACAAATGAATAACATTCAGATATACTAAACATCAATTGGTGAAAAGTCTATTCTAACTGATAATATTTTAAGTCAACTATACAATTATAAAATTAAAAAATAAGGTAATTTGAATGTTGTGCACATAAGTATAATAATTTATATATTAGAAAAAGATCCTAGCTAGTAGAATGAGTAAAATTATAATATAAAAAAAAATGGTTCTATTAATAACTAGATAAAGTTAATAGATGATAGACAAAGTAAAAAATGGTAAAATTAGTATAATTTTGCCAGTAACATCTAATATAAGTTTCTGAAGTCCTGACATAATACATGTGAATATATTTTCATTATAAGAATAATGTATATCTCAATGTACAAAGCAGGCTATGTCACTCTTTACAGCTGTGTGAGCTGAACATATGATGAGCAAATTTATAGAAGAATCTTCTACTTTCTTGAATTCTATTTCATTATTAAATATCAAGAAAACATTACAAAAACCAGTTCATAATACATTATATGATCCAGACTCATGCTACAACCAATGGCTAGCACATCTGAATTTATTTCTATTTCCATATCCACAAACACTCAACTTCTTTTTAAAACATATTTATTAATATAATTTTATACAATATAATAATTTTAACTATGTACCTAAAATATCAATTAAACTTAACTATAATGAATGTTATATACATGTATCTTATAAGTCTCAACCCTTACCTGAATACTTCCTTTCACAACTATCAGATTATACCTACTATTCATCTATAACTCTCCCTTCTAAATTTTCTTTAACAAATAATAATGCATCAAATATTAGCTCAATTATTAAGGATAATGAACTTAATTATGCCTATTTTCAACTAATAGGAACTATCTTAAATGACCATGACATTAACACTATATCTGAACTATACTATAATAATATTCAACTTAATACTTGCTACAACCTTTCATTACTTTCACATCCACAAACTATTTTTTTAACATATTTGAGGAAGGACCATAACCGATCTCTCATCCAGGACTGGTAGACCTCAAATATGTCCAAATAAAGAGTTGTAACTTCAAGTTGCTGACACCTTGAAGTGGCACATTAATCGATACTTACTTATTTAAAATTTTCTTATAGTTTCTCTGTATCGTGGTGTTTCGTTCATCATTAGGTGTTGTCGAAAACCGGTCATTTTGTGATAAGTAAATGACGGTTTTTATTGGCTGATCAAATTTCGAGATCGTACAGCCAAAAAACCAACCAAAAATCGTAACCTAAAATCTTGCGCCAACAAAACTTTTATATACGTATATTTTTTTTACAAAATTTTACATATAAATCATGTATAACAAGTATAATAATATATATAATGACAAATATAAAAGTATTTATGTTTAAAGCTAATTTTATTGAAGCCTTAATCTAGTCTCTGATTGATCGAATTCACGTAGCGATAAATATCTTTTAAAAGATTAGTAAATAAGTAAACAGAGAAACTATATAAAGAGAATTGTACAAAATAACATAAAGGGAAGTTTAAGTTGACGCATAGCAAAGCGCTAGTATTCTAATACGATTTGAACAACTTTATTGCGGATTGAAATTAATTTACCACGGTATAAACTCCACGTAGCCAGCACTTTCAGTAAATGTGAAACAAACTAGCTCAACTTTTAAAATTTGATATATTTAAAATGTCTGTTAAACAAATTCAGTCTGGATGTTTGGGCCACAGCATATTTTTCTTGGAATTGAGTTTAAGACATTTAATGAGGAATCTCCTTAGAAGTTTTCAGATTAAGATAAACCTAAAGATGAGGTGTTATTGCAGTTCTATAGTCATCAAGCATACTGTAAATAAAATAGAACTCGAAAAGCTTGACATGTATTTCGTTTATACTATAAATCCTTCACTCTACTTGAATAACTCCCATACACTATTAACACATGAATTTAGCACTAACTGGTCCGAGGAATATAATTACCCTCTAATTATCGGAAAATGTTTATTTTATAATATAAAAAAATTTTCCTTTAGGAAATTCTAAGCACAATTTTACAAAAAAAAAATATATACAAATATATCAAACAAGGATAAATAAATATAAATGACAAATTCAAAAAAGGTATCTTTTAGTTAATCGCTTTCGTCCTTTTCCTCATTGTCTGGAACCTCATTAAGTTTTCCAGACCTCACAGCTTCCTCCAAGGGATTAACAACATTCATAACACCCGTTTTTTTAAGTCTTTCAAATAATACAAACAACCTTTCTGCTTCCCTCTCTTTTTCTTCATCTGTCATATCAGAAAGCAAAGGTGCTTCTTCATCTAAGTACTGACCAGTGATTGGATTGATTGGTTTTTCAGAATGATCTGTTTGTTTTGAAGATATAGATGGTGGAATCATGATGTTTCGACTCATGAGAAAGCCGGCAGCGTTCCCGTATCCCACGTGATGAACAAATAAATTCGCTACATAAATAAGTTTTTTTTTTAACTTGATAATAGGAAAAAGTAAAATGCTTAATGATAAAAGCTTACCATCTTGATCACATATCACATATAAAAGTTCACTTATACCATCTTTTAAATTTGGTAACATTACCGAAGTCATTAATCGAATTAAACGTGCGGACAAACTATCGCCTTTTTCCAATGGTTTAGATCGATCACTAAAAATTTCAAAAGAAATTATTAAGATTATTTCTCAATTAACGTCCTAAATTTGTACTATATATATGTGCCTAAAATACTTTTGCGGAAAAGTGATTTCCGTAAAACATTTACTATTTGAAGTATTTTTGTATAAAGGGTTCAATAATTTCGGCAATTATGAAAAACGTCTAATTTCTGTAATAATTATTGTCGAGGATGATGCTGAGATATGAGTTCTCAATTTAAAAATATAAACCCTACTAAAACCCACATATACTCTTTTACTATAAACTCTAACCCTACATTCTAACCTAACTTTAAAAAAAATGCCAAAAAACATAGTACAAAGATTTTTTAAAATTTTATATAAAAATAATTCTCAGCATCATCCTCGACAATTATTTATTAAGAGGGGCAATTTAGGCACATAGATATTATCTGTACTGAACTTACACATCATCAGGTAATAATCTATTTCTCGTAATAGTTCTTGCCAATTCGTCTTCCTCTGCTAATTTTCGTATCAATGCCACAAGTGGTGGAATAACTTCATCAAAATTAATACCATATTTCTTTTGACCATTTTCAATATTAGCATCGGGATCTCCCTTGACGACAATACATATCATTGTTTTTAAAGTTTCAAGAAATTTATCCAAAAGAGCATATTGTTGAGTTTTTTGCTCTGGTGGAAACCAGATTGATTTGTAAGGGACAACAGGGAAGTTCAGAAGCGCGTGAATCGCGTGTGAATGTGGTGGGCCTAGTGGAAGTGGTGATGGTGGAGGTATTTCTTTGATAATATCAATAATTACCGGGAGTAATCTATAAATAACAAGATAGATTTTATTGATGTGATATATAAAAGTTTGAGAAAAATGAAATGAAATTGAAAGGATGAAATACTTTTCAAATTTTGACGGAGGCTCCTGATTTTTTCCTTTCTCTTCTTCACGCACAATTTTTGGACCATAATGCATTAGGTTAAATAAAACTTTTAATTGCTCACTCAAGAGCGTAACTCTGGTGATAGGTGAAGATTCAACAACCGTATACGAAGAAATTCCTTTCACAATATTGTTTATGATCTTTAAAAAAAAAAAAACATAAAATTATTAGAACTACCCTATTACATTATTATCAAATATAGCCGGACCTCATTGTTAACGACACTATAGTACTGGTCCATTTTATTAATATGCATGAGAGGTTGAGGATACGTTTCATAATTAATACTTTTAAAAATGGATATTGATAATTTGTTTAATTAACGAAATTTTATGTCAAATTGCTAACATTGAGTATTCATACTAAACAAGTTGATAACAATGAGGAATGACTGTAATAGAATTAATTTCCACAATTTACATTATAAAGTATATCAATTATTTCAAGGTCATCAATGAGCTGTTTAACGATTGGTGACGTTTTAATGGTCATCAAAAAGAGAATTCGCGAGTAAAGAAATTGTGTTTTGGTCGAAATTGTATCCTTTTTTGAATTAAATATTATGCGTATAAATGAATGAATAAATAAATAAATAAAATAAATCAGTAAATTTAAATAAACGTGTATATTTATCTATATATATAATATTTAAAAAGTTTCCAAAACAATTTGAAAATTACCTTTAAACCATGACAGACTTTTTGTACACAATTATACTTTTCAAATAGATCACGTGTACTTTCTCTTAATAAAAGCGAATTAGCAATGCACGTAAGTGCTTCTTGCGCCACGGGAGTATCGGTCATTTTATTTGATAAAAGTGATGCGTGATATAATAATATTAAAAATCCCTGTAATTTTTATTAATCAATAAACATTGTGACGTTTAATTAAATATTAATGATGAAATAAGATTTCACCTTATCCGAAAACAATAATTCACACCCATTCACATCGCGACCTAATGTCTTTAAAGTTTGTAATGCTAGTAATCTTACTGTATGTAAAATTTGAATTCTTAGACATCATACTGGTATTATTTATCTGTCTTATTTGTATTGTTGATTTTCACAATACCATCATCATTCCATTTTAGTTGAACCCCATTTTCGTCAAGATCAGATAGAAGAGCTGATACAAGTTCTGATTTCTTTGATACATCGAGGGATGCTATTTCTAAACAATAATTAATATTTTAAGGCAAAGTTAATTCGAAAAAAAGGAACGAAATTGTATTGTACCAGATGAATTGGACAAGAATGATGTCAATACAGGAGAAACGACTTCGATATTAGTTCTGTCCTCAATTAATAAATATGAACTCATATTTGCGGTATTGCAAAGATTTCAAAGTGAGACTGAAAACATTCAATTGTTTAAAGCTCTTTTTATATTGTATCTAAATTGAGCTGTACAACCATGTCTAAATTATCATGCTAAAATATTATGTGTCACACATTAATGTTGTACATTTATTATATTAACAAACAAAAGGTTCTTTGTCTTCGGTAACCTGATTTGTATAAAAATACCCATCATTTGGCTCTTGTCCATTCATTCACCTCACTTTTACGCTTGTACAAAAAATATCTTCTATCGTTTCGAAACTTAATACTTTACATGCTTACCCAATTTAGCCATCGTTAAAAAATTCTGATCCTATTAAATCTTACTAAATCGTTATCATCTAAAGAACGAGTGATCGTTTTTTGTGATCACGAATAAGAATTAATATGTCCGACAATGAAACCTCAAAGCTAATCAAATTGGTTCAGGATTCTCTTAAAGATGACCCTAGAACAGTAAGGTTAGGAACGAGGGATATTCGTGAAATTCCTGTAGAATTAATAAATTTAATATCTAAAGACAACTATAAAGTTGAAAGGTATTCATTTAGAAAATTGTCTTAGCAAAAAAAATTGATCTTATATTTACAATATTCATAGCTCATGGTTTTTGATCTTGTTTAGGCTTGGACTTGAAACAAATCAATTGTCAACGCTTCCAACAGAATTTTGTAAATTATCATATTTAAGATATTTAAACGTTTCTAACAATGCATTCAAAGATTTTCCCGAGACGGTAACGATTCTTATATTTTCATTTAATACGATTTTTTTTTTTTTATCTAATCATTATATGTTTATTTATTTAATTCTCAGTTATGTGCAATGCCAAGTTTGGAAATATTGGATATTAGCAAGAATAGAATTAAGAAATTACCAAATGATTTTGGAAAATTAATGTCACTGAAGGTTAACTGATTTAAGCTTATTCTTGTATGCTACTATTTTTTACATCATAACATTATTACTTAATCATAAATTATAAATCTGATCCAAAAAAAATTCATTTTTTAGTTATTGAAAATATCCAAAAATTTAATAAGGATAATTCCTAATTATATTGCGGATATGAAAGATTTACAATATTTAAAAATTGATAATAATCCAATTCGTTTTCCACCAAGAGCTATTCATATAATGCCAAAAGGTGATGAGAAAGAAGTCATGGTATTTTGGTTAGCTAAATTAAAAGAATATTTAAGACAACATTCAGGTAGGTTTTTTTTTAAATGGATTCAATAATTTTAAGAATATTAAATATGTTTTATTCATATAGCAATTAGAAATAATGAAATGGAAGAAAGTGATAATTCCAGGTTTGTCACTAAATGATCATTTATTACCTATCTTATTCTAAATTCATAATTTAAATATATGAGTTTATTTTATTTAGTGATAGTGAAGATGAAGTTGATCAAGATGAAATAACAAATAATAAGCTATTAAAAAAATCATCATCTGTTGATAGTATTAACAATGCAGAATCTTTTTTGGATTCACGCATAACTACTGAAAATTCAAATTTGTTAAATACTATAACCGAGGATGAACAAGTAACCTCTAAACTTGAAAAGAGAAGAGCAAGCCCTAAATTAAGTATAGATTTACCGTCACGTCGTGATAGAAGTTTTAGCAATGACTTGGATCTTACATTAATGAATTCTCGTAACACTTCTGCTCGAGCACATTCAAAAAGTTTTTCTCATAATTCACCAACAAATTCTCATGCAATTTTGGAGGAGCGTAACAGTGAATTTTATTTTCAAAGACTTAAAACTCTCCCTCCAACTGAACATCTAAGGATGAGTGATATTTCTTTGAGGGAAGCTAGTCGAAATATCTTATACGCATTGTCTCAAGTGCATAAAGCTTTACGCCAGTTTGTAATTTTTACCGGCAATGAAAAGATATTTACTATTGAACTTAATAAGACTAATCATTCAATAGGACAATTATGTGCTGCGTTACAAAAATTTGATAATTTTGCTTTGCAAGCAACAGGAGATGCAGAACATTCGGTTAAATTACTTGGTGCGTGTCAAGAGAATATAGCAAATTTCAAAGTTCTCTTAGATTTATTGAATAAACATCTTAAATATTTAACTCAACCTTCTGAAAATTTTCGATATTCACGAACCCTTCTTTTAATGTTTCATGGTGCTACTGTGGACATTAAATTTGCATGGGAAAATATATCTCCACTTTTGAATAATAATACTCCTTTTACAGGAAATTCAACACCTATGCGATCAAAGTCAATGTCACGTTCAAATAGTAATAGCAATATTAATGGAGTTCCTCATTCTGCAACATCTGTAATTAATAATTCTTCAAGCGGAGTTAGTACTCCATCTACTGCTGGAATGTCACCATCTTCTCTTGGTCCATATTCTGCTGGTTTAATAAACAACTCTCATACTGATATTGCATTACCGATTTCAATATTTGATCAAATGCTTTCAAAGGTTGATGCAGCTATCAAGTCTGTGGAGAATGTTGGAAAACATTTAATCGAACAATTAGACACTGCCATTGGATCATCCGTAGATGAATCTACACCTGCATTACCTGTGAAAATAAAATTAAAAGAATTAAGATCACATGTTAAAAGTGTATTGGATGTAACTAAGCAATTGAAAAAATCTCGGTTGGCCGTAAAATTAACGCAGAAAGAGGATTTGAGTATACAACTTAAAGTTTATGATTCCACAATCATATTCCTTCAGGTAGATATAATTATCGATCAACTTTATCGATCTGATTATTAACTCTATTACTGATAAATTTATTGTTTGAATTTTATCATCGGTAATTTACAGGAAACAGTGAAAATGTCCACATTAGCCAAAGATATTTCACAAGAATGGCAACTTAGTAGTAAAGTTATGACAGGACTAGGTCTCGTCACTAAATCAAATATCGAACTGACTGATATTCTTCGAGCAATTGAAGAATGGCTTGTAATGCCACCACCTTCACCATCACCTCCGAATGAAATACAGAGATCAGTTAAAAATGATGTTCTGTTTCCTGATGGTAATGAGAAGTATACCTATGAGGAACCCGAAGAACTTCCTAGTTCAAGTCTTGATGAATCCTCACAAGGCAAAGAAAATGATGTTAGTGATATTGGAAATAATGCTATAAAAGTGGATGTGACTGTAGAACATTAGAATTTTATTTAATGCTGTTAACGACTTTGAGCTCATCATCAGCTCATGAGAACTACATTTATGTGTATGTGTAATTTGTGAATGTTTTGGTTTAAAAGTTATAATACAAGACAAATTTATTATATATTTTGTTTTTTTATTGGAACTTTTTCATGCAACAGATTTATGTAAATATTTTGTTAATTTCAAGATACATTATTTCATAACATTGTATAAATAACTTATAATAAATATATGATTAAATTTTTTACCATTGTAATATGCAGTTATAGTATCTAGGCCAGGGTCCTCGGATTTTTCTAGCAGCTAAAATAGCACTAGCGATATTATGACAACCACATATCCAAATCCAACCAAAATTGGTTGATTTTAATTCTACATGTCTATAGAATACAAAATAAAAAAAAAATTTAGAGTTTAGTTGGATTGTTTTCGTGATATTGTTTGTGCTATTTTAGATGCTAGAAAAATCCGAGGACTCTGATCCAGGCACAGTTTGACCTCTCTAATGCATCTTTTATAAATGCACATTTTAATCAAATTCTTAATACATAATGTTAGTTTATAAAAACTTTATACAAAGAAGAGGGTGGTATTATGACGAATCGGGATATTTCGTGATCCTGTGATCATAATCGGACATATTTTAGTAGATTGAATTAATAAAATTTTTTTTCTTTATATTATTTGTGCAATTATATAAAGGTTTTTATGTAAAGAACTTATTTATGCATATTGTAAAACTAAAATATAGTTACTTATATTATAAAAATATTAGAGTTTGCTTCTTTCTTTTTTTAAGGTGATCTTTTTGGTCTTTTGATTTTATTAACACTTTTTTTGGGTAACATGATTATATAGAACTTCTATAGAAAGAGCATACAACTGGTTATATGTGTATTACCTACTAAAGGAGTCTACTTGAAGGCTTCTTATCAATTGTTGTACTTAATACTTCTACTTGGATGTTTCATTTTAAATCTTTTGATTTTGCATTTTTAGTATTAACTTCATTAAGTTACAAGAGTATTTTTTTATATTCAGATTCATGTTTTAACTTTAGAATTAATTTATCTTCAAGATAAATTTTTTAGAATTTTCTGTATTCCTATTTACAGTTGATCTAATATTATTAGAATTAAAACTAACATTTATAGTCAGAATTAATCATTGAATCATTATATTTTTATAAAGTTCATATAATCCAAATATCTTTTTTTACAATTTTATTAATACTTTGTTTACTTTACAAGTCTTTTTATATTACCAATCTAGCAAGCTTTGCATGATGCAACTTTATACTTGGATCAATCAGTAATCAGATTGGTAAAAGCATAAGAGATTATTTTTCAGAAATCATAAGTTTTGTTATAATATTTTTGATTAATTAGAAACTTATTTTACTGGTATATGCTCAAAACAGACAGATAGTTATCAAATTAAATAGTCAATCAACAGATATTATTAATATATTATTATTTTTTTTATTTTAATTTCAAAGTAAAATAACTTATATTATAAAAAAATCTAATTATTTACTTATATTTTAATAACAATTTTACAATTATAAAGATTTTAGTTTATAAGATTTTTAGTAACCAATTATATATTCTTTAATATATTTTTTTTGTTTAATCACTTAGTCAAATTGGTTTTATTGGTTAGTAATATTTTTAAATATATCTATAGTTCATAAGAATACAGTTAACTATATATACAATTTTAGTTATTGTTTATTTAAGACTTCTGCTTTAAGATTATTTACTTTCTATCTTGTTTCTAATCAGTATTTATATAACTCTAACTATATTATCTTAAGATGAATAACTTTGTGCTATCTCTTATAAAGAATTATTCAGATTTAACTTTATTTCTTTTTGTACTAATATCTAGGCTATTATATATTTTAAAGTTTATTATTTGTCAATAAAACTTAAAAGATCTTTTTGTTAATTTATCTATTTATTCTACAAATCTTAACAGAGCTATGCCTTTGCAAATTCATCTGAACCTAGTACTACTTTATATTATATCTTTAATACTTTAGTATACTCTTATATATGTTATTAAATTTTTAATTTAGATAAATTAATAAAACTGTAACCTGTTTTTAATATATTAGCTTAGTCTAATATTCTTTTTTTTTACTTTAATTCTGGCAACCTAGTTGGTAATGCTTCTTATTTAGAGATTCTTGTCTGTTTGGTTTCTTAATATTAGTATCTGTTTTTTAAATCTAGCTTTTATAATAATATTGTTAAAGATCTATATTATCTTTCTGCTTAAATTTTTTCAAATAGGCTTCTTGTTTTTTAGTTTTTACAAATTTATATAGTCATAAAAACTTATCTTAAATTTGTATTATCTGATATTAGTTAGTATTCTTCTATATAACTAGTTATACAGATACCTTATAACTTGTTAGTTATACTAATATAATTATAATTACAGATATCTTAATTTAATTATTAGTAACAGTTACTGTAATACAGATAGTTATTCAAATTTTTATTATTAGTAGGTTTTAAACTTCTAACTTGCTATTTAGAAAGATAACAACTTATTTATTTTACTAAATTGTCATATTTTTAATAGTCTTTTTAAAAATTTTATATAATTAATAAAATTATATTATCATATATATTAAATAATTTTTATTGTACTAAATATTTTTAAAAATATTGTAACTTTAAAATAAGCTAATAAAAGTTTAAAAAAATTAATAAGTTAATAATTTAAATAACAAAAAAACTAATAAAAACAATATTGATTCTTTGTAAATTGAACAATACAATATAGTTTTATTTTCTTTTATATAGAGTAAATAGTACTTTAGTCTTTAGTAATATAATCTTTTTTAATATGATGCAATGTAATGCAACTTAAGTTTTTTTGAAAAAATATTTTTTAGAAAGTTGGTTTATTAGTAAAGTATTATATAATTGATTTTATTTTTTTAAAGTTTACTTATAATCAAAATTTCTAATTTTAAACTATTATTTTATATAAATACTTATATAGTGTTAATCTTAAAAATTATTAAATATAAATGTTCTTTATACTATTAGTAGATTCTTTTTATTTAAAAGTTTTTGTTTATACAGATTATCTGTTTTAGATTTTTTTTCAGATTAAAATTTTTATAGATAGTATTATTAAAAATTGTACTATCTTTTTACTTTGAATTTTTAAATAAAACTTTTTATTTAGTATATATATTTCAGATTTATTTGTATAATAAATATTGCATATTTCCAAAATTAGTTTTGATACAACTAAAATTGCAAAATTATAATTTTAAATATTTTATTTAAATAATTAGAATAAAATCATTTTTCAAAATTCTGTTATCAATAGATTTTGAACTCTGAATCTATTGTTTAAAAAATAATAACCTAAACATTATATTAGAATTGTTATTTTAAAATTTGCTTTTTACAAATAATAATTATTTATAAGCAATTTACAAATTATTAATTTTAATAAATATCAAAAACAACTTTTTTTTGCTGATTTCTTAAATAAAAAATACCAAGAAACAAAATATAAAAAAAATATAAAAATATATTAAAAAACAATATTTAGATTATAATAAAAAAAAAGAATAAGAGAATGATGATTCTAGTATAGTGGTTGGGTTGTCATCTTCCAAGTGACAGGTCTAAAGTTCAAATCTTATCTATGACAAAATTTAGAAATTATATCTGCATTATGATAATTGTCTTTTTTTAATTGATTGGCCTCATGTGACTGTAACCTAGGTACACCAAGTTAGATTCTACTAACATTAGAAGCTCGGGAGCATTTATGCAAATTGTAACATTATATATATATAAAGAAATGTATAACCAGTATTGTATAAGACTTTGGTGCAAATTCATGATAAGACTATTGAACATAGAAGACTAAGGAACTGAGGTAACAGAAACCTATTTGGAAATTTCTGAGTAAAGAGGTAGTATAAACTTTCAATAGTACTATTAGATCAGTTAAAGCCTATGAAACATTTTCATAGAAACCAAAGGTTAAACTGGATATTAAATATGTATAAAAAAGCATATAACCAACCAGGTTACCAGATTCGCTAAAAGAAAAGAATACAGAAGTATACTATACTAGGCTATCTGAATTGGTAGTCTGGAAGAGACTGTTAGTTCTGAGTTGTGACTAGTAAAAGATAATGAAAAAGATGCTAAAAAGATAGGTATTAGGGTTCTAGTAAACTTTACAAGAATAGAAATAGTATAATATAGTAGTTAAACAGGTAACCCTATGATTGCAAGTGTTAGGTAACTATAGCATGTTGCATAAAACTAGGTCTGTATGTGTGAGACATAAAAGGCTCTAGTAAGTTTTTTGTCAAGGATGAAGTAGTCCTTAAAGTAATGATCAACATTAGGAACTTAAATGGATGTAGCCTTAAGATGTTTTCATGATACAAGAAGAATTGTATATACAGAGAATTTAAATAGGCAAGACTCCTAGTTGGCTTGCAAGTATAGCATCTAGTGTAAAATTTACATAGCAATGTATAAGCAGACTACTTAAATTAGGCACCAAAAGTGCACATATAGCTAGTTGTAACCTTCAATATAAGGTAGTCTCTAGTGGCATGTTGTGTCTTATATACTTAAATAAAAATATTACATTCTCAAGACAAAGACTTTAACTATAAAAAAAAAAAAAAACCCCAAAAAAAAGAATATTAGAAGTTATACCTAGTTTAAAACAAAAACAAAAAAATATAAAAACAGTATAAAACAAATTCAAATAAAATTTTTAATAAAAAATAAAAAATTTTGAAAAATTTTAGAAAATTTCTATAATTATATTTTTTATTTTTTTGGTATTAAAATGATTTTTTTGGTCTTTTAACTTTATTAACACTTTTTTAGATAATATAATTTCATAGAAACTATTACAGAAAGAGTATACAACTGGCTATATATATAACTTTTTTATATTCTCATTTAAGAAGTCTATCTAAGAGTTTCTTATTA